TACTTTATTTAAATTAATAATAAATGGCGATTTAAGTAATAATCAAACTGTCGTACTCAAGTTTACAATAGTAGTTATTGTTTTACTTTGTTTACGATTCGTAACTTCGTGGTTGTCACGTATGCCGCTAGAGGCCGCGAGTTGTTCTTTCCGGAACATTGATCACATATTATTATTCTAGTAATCACATCAGCCATAAAATTATTCAATTATAGTTATAAATTCGTCTTTATTAAAAACTGATAATATGTAATTAAATTGTTATAATTATTAATTCAAAGATCGAATACTTAGAAAAAAATTCCTTCGGTCTTGTTCGTTCCGTGACTCGTTCAGTGGCTTAGTTGGCATAGCGTATAGCACGGTATGCTAGGAGACGTCGCCGTGTCGGTTCGAATCCGGCCGGATCGAAGGAATTTTTTGTAAATGTTCGATGTTTGCATTAATATTTATAACAAACTGGTGAAGTAATTTCACAAAAATTCATTAAATGACAATTCAATAAAAAAAAATTATTGTAATTAAATTATTATATACAAATACTGTTGTAGTTGTATGTTGTAATTAGAAATACTTGTACTAAAAGTTCATAAGCATTTTAAGTTTGTGATTGCTAATTACGCCGCTACATGTCACTGTTGCTGAATACTAGTTTTTGGTTGAAAGATTTTGGGTGGAAAATGAAAAGGTATCTTCTCATGCTGTTGTGTTTGTGTTTTTTCTTGTATTTTTCGGTGCTTTTCTCCTGAATTATAACGAACTGTTAATATTTCAACCATGGACTAGTCCACAATAGGTTCATTTAATTTGGTTCAACATGATATTGAGTGACTAAGGGTCGTATTCTAGAACTCTACTCAATGCTCAAGTTAGGATTTGAGTATGGTTTAAAGCACTTGATATCATACTCAAGTCCCTGCCATTAGGGTCGTATTTCCAGTGCTTGTGTTGCCTGTGCAATCCTGACTTCAGATTGAATAGAGTTCTAGAATGCGACCCTATGATAGTGACCACACGTGGCTTTGAGCGAGGCAGTCCGCTTTCAAGTTTCGTGTTCTGCTGTCGCCAAAATACTTAAAAATGTCCCGCTTTGATAAAACAGGACACGCGTGACAATAAATTTTTAAAAATGGCGTGAAAGTGAAAATTATACAAAGCCAGCCAACTAGACTACACAAGACAAGTTTTATTAAATTTTTGTTCTTTGTTTCATTTGTTTAATCATGAAACATTAAGTAACTATCATAAACATGTTTTATTTTTTAAAACAATAATCAATTTACAGGCGCCCGAAGGAAAAAATAATTTAATCAACCACAGCTAATTGCTATTGTGAACTCGCAAAGAAAAAACCACGACTAGTCAACTTACGACAACGCCAGAACCGTCGGACAAACTATCTCCAGTTAACAATATTTCCATTCCGCCTGCCCCCTTTTGCCAGCTTGCACAGCTAGACGTATGGCGGGATATCATCTACTTGATCGACATTCCCTTCAGGCGTATTAAGCACTTTTCGTATTATGCGCACCGCCCATAAATGGAATTCCCTAGCTGCGACTGTCTTTCCGCACATACAACACTTTGATAATTAAATTTTTATTGAATTGATATTCAATTATTTTTTGTGAAATT